AAAACTTATTCATTTATTTATTCATTTATTGAATTAAGACTAATATTTTAAAATTGCTTGAAAATTTTCTCTATTTTGAAAATGCTTATGAATACATTGAGTAATTTCTGCTATAATCTAAAAATATTGATGTGCAAATAATTTTCTTTCACAATACATTTTTTTGCACTGATGAAAATCATTTTGTGGCAGAAGCTATTTTAATTAAAGTCTTTATAGTTACATTATGTGGTATGTAAAAAAATTAGTAGACAAATAATATAACATTTATCCCAGATGAGATATTTTTTTTTATTTTGCATTAAGATTGGCTCACAGGTTAGTAAGTGAATGCATGTATGTAGGTTGAGAAGAACATAACATAATACAGCAATTAATGTTGTGTGGAATTTCTTTTTTTTTAATTAAATGTGAAAGGAAGAAAGGAGAAAGAAAAATGAAAAAAAAAAGACTTACCATAATGTTGGTGCATGTTCAGAAAAGTCAAAACTGGAAGATGCATACAAATCACGCCATTGATTTTATACCTGTAGACAGCAAACAAAACAAAATCTGATTGGCTAATGCAGATCTCAATGACATTATAAATGTAAGATCTACCTCCTGATATGTTTTTGTTAAAATCAGATCATGGAGTGAATTATGCAGAGAGGTGGCCTGTCAACAGGTCAGGGTACCTAGAATGGATCTGATGTTGCAATATCCAAAATTCATAATGAAGCCAGGGTAACATCACTGATAAACTCTGCCATTGCATTTTATAAATGTATTTTAAGAATGAATGTTAACTTTGTCAAACTAAAAATCAGTGTGTGGCTTTTATCAGTAATGTCAAGGAGAGTCTATCTTCAGTATATTTCAGTCCATCATTCACTAGGGAAAAATCCATAATAATGTTCAATTCTAAATCTAAACACAGCTTTAATCTTTATTAGCACTGATTTAAAAATTAATTTTTGTTTGACCATAACATTTTTAAAACTTTTCATTGATGCAAAAAGAAAATAGAATTTATTTTGTCAAATAGTTTGATATTTTTGTCAATAAATTGTGCAATGCTTATTATTATGAGAATATAAATTTCCATTTTTACCATCTCTTTTGAATGAAAGAGCTAAACAAATCTTACTTTACTGTAAATCAAAAAAAGGGGTTTCTAATAAAAAAAAAAAAAAAAAGAAGCACTATAAAGTTTCCGTTTTGACATTTGAGTTCCTACTCTTGTATTTATCATAACAGATTATTTGGTCAGCATGAGAATATATTTTACTTTGTGTTTCAAAATTTCTTGAACTATTCCATCTTCCAAAATCTGATCAAACAGAATTTTGTGGGCAAATTTTTCAGTAACTACGAAAAAATAAATCTTAAAAAAATTCTATAAAATAAAGTATGACCAAACTATAGAATTTTGGAGAGAAATCACATCCAGGTTAGATAAACATTTCTGCAACTGCTTAAAAAAAAAAAATAAATAAAAAATGTAAAAGTAAAAAGTATGTGTGCATGTCGATAATCTTGTTTTTTTTTTATCTGAATAATGTTGAAAATTCTTAGCCTGACAAAGGATTTAAAAAAAAAGAAAAAAATAAAAGAAAAAAAAAAGAAAAAAAAAAAAGAAAAATGTTTATCTGATCAAATTTTTGTTGATAATCCAGGCTGAGAACTTATTATTCTCTTTTATTTGTGTATAGTTACCTTTTTTGGCATCACCAGAAGTGTTCACTTATATAGAGAATCGGGTGAATTGCATATCTCTATGTAGTAGATTCTTCTGATGTTAATTTTCAATTTCAAAATTCTTCCCTGGAGGGTAAAATGTTGTAATTTTAATACTTATTTTTTTTACTGGTGAGGCAGAATTTCTTTTTTTTCTGAGGAAAAGACAGACATATTGTGTATAACACTTCTTTTATATTTATGAGTAGACTGTATTGTATTTACTGAAAGTATATTGGAAACTTCTAGGGAATGACTTGTTATTTTTGCAGCCATTTACTACTTTTCCTGATTTGCGTTGTCCAAGCCTATTTGTTTTCTTGTCTTGTCACTACAGATTCCCATGATGACACAATCATGTATCATACTGTCTTTTAAATGATCGTACTCACAACTTCCTGTTTGTGTTTATATGTCTGTGAGAAATAACAGGAAAGTTTCTCATTCCTGCTGTGTGTGGGTGTTAAACTGATACCTTTTCTAGGCTATATCTTTCTTGCCTAGTACATATTCCTGGAATTTTCTCCCTAGTGCCTTATAATTTCCTTTTTCTGTGTTGGTGAAGGTTATAGCTTTGTATACATCTATTGCCTTTTCTCTGGTCAATGTAGAAACAACACACGTTTTACTTTGTTCAGTTTGGTAATGTTTTCTGGTACCTCAAGGTACAATTCAAATTTCTGTAATTTTTTTTCAATATTTTCTCCCCAGGACATCTATGTGGGAGGTTGAATGATATCCATTATTTTATGTGTGGGTTTTCACTTCTCACACTATCTAATATTTCCATGTAGCAGGTTTCGATATGAAAGACAAAAAGGCCTTCTTGGCAGTTTTTTTTATTCCAAGATTACACATTGAAAGTGTGTACAGTCTTTGCATCTTGCAGTGAGCTTTTGTTTGTTTTTTATTTCATACCATGTCAGAAACTCGTTCAGGAAATTTCCCATATCAAAGAGAATAACTCTGGTTACTAATTTCTGCACACAAGCTACAACATCGAACTCTCCAGACTAACAAAATCACTTTTTCCCAGTTAATCTACAATATCCAGACTGAGTGCCAAAAACTGCAGTATCGGTCAATGCCAGTGCATGTAGCTGTTAGTGAAAGCATGACCGGTGCATTCTATCCTCAAACCACATAACCTTTCACAAACCTGATTGAGATCCTTCAGGAAGTTCTTTGTGACCCTCACGATCTTATCAACATTTTTTTTCTACCTACATTTATATACATTGCAAATGAAATTAAGCACAGTTGATAAATAGATGAAAAATTTTCATAGATTTTGACATTATGCTGGGTTGTTAGTTCAAATTCAGGAATTTGTTTTGCTAAGACTCAAAAAACACTATATAAAATTCACTATTTCTATCTATAATGTTGAATGCATTAAGATTATTCAGTTTTTTAACAAGAACAATCTCAGATTTATGATAAAAATTGCCACAAAATATTATTCATTTATTTAAGATGGGATGATCGATTATGACATGCCTGTAATTTGTATTTAGCTACATTGTATTTATTTTCAATTTTTCAAGTTGAATTGTTCATCTCTATTGCATAGGATTCATTACTGTACATAATTAGGTTACTATAAGAATTGTCTTTAATATGAATGTTACTTTAAGAAAATTGTGATGGAATAGAGTTTTTGGTGGGTATCACAGATTTAGGGCAGGTGCAAGAGACCAATACACAGGCCCTGAGTGTAGAATATTGTATGATAGATTATATAGCAAATTAAGAAAGTAAAAACCTTAGCCATATATATACTGATTTCAATCAAGTTGGCATTAAAATATTTCCTCTAATATGTTTTTCTATATTATCTTCAGTGCAATGAAAGTTTCAATTTATTTTCATAACAAATGATATTACAGGTTACATAAACAACGAAAATAAAACAAAGATATCATTTTTAATGTAGTATTAATGTGTCTCAGTTTGGGTAAATTAAGAAAGTCAAAAACCTGTAATTATTGACAAGAGAAAGAATATCAGATGATAAAAAGAATAAATATTTACAGACATTTTAGTGATGAAGTAAGATTTTTAAAAATATACAATATGTAAATAAATATATTTAGACATGAACATATTTTATTGCACACACACACACACATATATATATATAGCCTTGGATATTGCTCTAGGAGAAGGACAACTCTGAATTCAAAACCTGCTGAGGGATGTTGTTTGGAGACCTTGTGCCACATTGTGCACTGGGTCTCTGTATTTGGCCCTCCAGAAAGTGTGGTTGGTTCTGCACAAAGCCTTTACCACTATAATCAAATTTCATGTGCTGGTGTCGAGTTGCTGGTTCCTGATCTGCTTGACCTACATATGTCAAATTCGACAGAAGAGTTGAGTATATATATATATATATATATATATATATATATATTATATGTGGTGGACTCTCCTGTTGTACTGTCATATTCAATATTCGAGAGTCAAGTAGTTCAGTTCCTAAGAATGAACAGTCCATATGATTTGATTATAGTGGTGAAGACTTTGTGCAGAACAAAACACACTTTCTGAAGGGCTAAATACAGTGACCTGGTATACTACGTGCCACAATGTCCCCAAACAACCTTCCATAGATTTTAAATCCAAAATTGTCCTTCTCCAAGACCAGGTGCCATCCAAGGTTATAGAACCCAGTCTGTCCCATTTATTCATAACTGGAAGGAGAAGGGGATTAATACCTTTCCCAAGGGTATTAGCACGTAAGTGAATGTAATAGATTTGAATGCAATTTGAACTCAGCTCACCAATTCCTCAATCTGAGCCACTATCCATTACTCCACTGTACAACCTCATATATATTTGTGCATGGGTGCATATGTGTGTGTAGGTTGTATAATATTATCCAAAACAAGAATGAAGATAAGACAAAATGGATTATTTATAAATGACAAGTTTCACCGAGAGCATCTTCTCTCTTTGGCTTCCTCTGGTTAGCATGAAAGAAAAGCAAAAATGTATGTGAGGAAAAATGCCTTTGGACCTCTGATAATAAGTATGGACCATACATCAAATTAAATGGTTACCACTTAACTTCAGAGATCCCAAGGTATTTTTTCTACAGTATTGTCTTTCTTACATTCTAACCTGAAGAAGTCAAAGAAAGCAGACTCTCGCTAAATCAATTTTACACTTTGTCTCATCAACTTTTATATATATATATATGAGCTTAAATGGCACAGGAAAATAATGTATTATATGTTGAATTTTGTCAGATAATAATTTAGTCAATTCGAAAATTCAACTTAGAAATATCTCTCTTTCTCTCTATGTAGATAGATAGATAGATAGATAGATAGATAGATAGATAGATATGCATTTATTCTTTACTGGTAGTACAACTCTGGCATTCACCCATAATGCAATTGTCAGGTGCTGATCATTGCATAATTTAAATATTAGTATTTATACTTTACTGTAATGATAATGGAGCAATCCATTTTATTCATGGGGGAGGGGTAATAAAATAATAAAAATTATATATACAATCAAATGGTGTGCCATCATTTTTCCCCATATTCTTTTGAATGTTCCTCCATTTTCAATGATTCTTCTGTGTGTAGTTATGTAACTGCTTTTTTTAATATATACATGCACACACAAACGCACACATTATATATATATATACACACATCCAAATACAAATATATAACTATAATTTAAATACAAGTACACACATCTAATATGTAGTTTCAAATATAATACATACAAATGTATACACAAAAATATCATGACATATCCACACACACACACTATATATATATATATATATATATATATATATACACGCACACACACGTACATTCACATGGACTTACAAAGGTGTATAATACAAAAATTTGTTTATAATATCTACTTACGTATCAATATGTTAGCTATTGCATTCATACAAAAATGTAAATACATACACACATCGAATGTCAATCCTGTTTTTATGGAATATTTAACCTGAGCATCCTTATTAGTATACGAGAGAGAAGAAGTCAACCCCTGTACCGGAAATTGTAATATTAGGTGTCGGTTAACAGAACCCCATTCCGGTTTTATTATATTTTAAATTATTCATGCAGGTAATTTTTTTTATCTGACTAATACTAAGCGCTATATTTTTTTTAGATGCTATATTGATAAATTAACCTATCTTGCCAATCTACACGATAAACAGAGTGTAAAAATTTAAATGAAACAAATACAATTTTGGAGCCTACGACATTTGTCCAGTATCTTTATTCTGCTAAACCGGCAAATGCAGCTTGAATCCAGATTTGCAAAGAATATGAGACATATGACCAAACTAATAAATCCTCAATTTTATAGATCCTCATAAGGAAAAGAAACTGAAATGCAAGGAATTACTGAAAAACCTTATGTGTAAGTGTGTGTGTGTGTATCCAATTCCGTTGCTCTTTCTCTAACTACAAATACATGGAAGCAGTTATGTATTTGCAAATATCTACAAACGTACGTATAGCCTCAGCGGGTGCATTCGATATATTCCATTTACCCAGTGTTAATGTTTCAGAAAAATTTCCTTACGTCAGAACGTTATAAAGATAAGCCGGTATCGTTAATATGATGTACGATTCATTTCAGTTTGAAAATTTCATTTGTGTTCTAAACAGAGATGCATCTTGGCGAAAAAAAATGCCAGCAAACATCACGCACTTACTGACAGACATTTATTGAGAATTTTAACCATAAATGTTTTGAATGATATACATAGGAATTTCGAACCGGACCCATCTACTCTCGGTGGACGAATAAAATGTTCAGTTCGAATTTCAAACGTATGTCACCTGAAGAAGGCCGAAACGTTGTGAATATGACAATAAAGACGAGGACATCAGTCCGAACAATGTAAATAGTGAAAAAGGACCTTATTTTTTCTGTAGCGATTACATCATTTCAAGTGATAAATTCTTAAGGAAAAATTCGTTTAATTTGCAATGAATTTGGTAAACAAACACTTCAATCTTTTTCTACAAAAGTCAGTCTTTTATATCTTTCTAGTCGAGTTTCTTTTCGGTCAACACATGATGCACCAAAACGTTCATTACTGTCAAACTCTCTGCCTTTAGCAGAGAGGAACCCGGACGAGGCTTTGCCGAAGGGCCAAGCTTCGTCCGTGAAGGTAGACAGGCCCTGAACCCATTTATGCGGGTTCAAAGGGAATATTTTTGGCCGAGCCTACAGGCTCAGAGAACCCACGGTAAACCCGGCCATGTGCCACATACGAACCCTGTGGTGGGGGCGTTAAATATAACACATCTTGACAACTTTTCTTTTAAGGTTTTGTTTTGTCACCTAAAGAATCAATCGCTTGTTTAACGGGTATTACCAAAATGCGTTCTGGAGGCTTTGACGCAAAGTTTTCAGGCTTTATTCTTTTAAAACTGAAGAAACCGACTATTATAAACGGACATGTATGCAAACACTCTACCGGTTAACTAGTCAAATATGCTGGACTGTCTTGCTTTCGTTAGCAACAAGCCTAAGAGAAAAAATAACTCCGGATTAAAACGCCCATTATCTATTGGATATCTTCGACAAAATATTTATTTATTGTTGAAATAGCTAGATGCAACCTTTTCTTTTATTCTGATAGTTTCTTTTCTCGAACTTCTCACCTGTGTAAGTCTCCACCGATTTATTGCTTCTCTACCACCCACAAGCTTTAAAAAAGTTTAAGTAACACCAAATCTCCTGTTTTTACGAAAACATTTTCTTATTGTTCTTTCTCCTCGCTAAAGTCTTCTCGTTCTCTTCCACTCCCAGTAACCCCTTATGTATTAGTAGTATGATCGTCTTGTTCGGAGTGAAATGATTAAAAATAAATAAATAAACGACTGTATTAACGTATAACAAATATTAAACTTGTCCCGCTCTACGTAGATCAATTTCGAAATCTCCACAGTGAAGAAACAGAAGAAAGAACTGCGTGTACAACATCCCATTGAGTTGTGGCAGTCGTTAAAAAGCCATCCGTAAAAGAATAAAGCATTAAGAACATTGAAAATATGTTACTCTTAAAGATAATATAAAGTAAGATATACCTAGGGGAGTCGACCACATAATCCTCGCTGGAAGAAAAACATGTTAATAGATAAAATTTACGGGAGAAAATAGATTATTTAAAAGAAGCAGCACATACGATACAACTAAATGATTTATTCCACAAGCATCCCGGTAATTAAACGCCCAAACTCATTTTCAAAGAATATGTCATAAATTTTGAAATCAAAATTTGACTGAAAACGTGACAATAGTGTAATTAAGAAAAACATATTTCTAGGAAATACAAACCTATTTGGAAAAAGAACTTTGGAAAATAGTTAACAGTAAAAATTTCAAAAGCTGACCTGTTACTTCTATATGATACAGAATTATGTGTCAGTTATCAGTAATCTTTTATACTTTCATGAAAACTTCTATCAGCGCTGCCTGGGCGAAATTTCACCGCCTTTATTGCCAGTAACAATGTCCTCAATGCAGCAAAAGTAACAAGTATGAAGTTTCCGTCCCAAAAAAATACGTTAGACTGTTCGCTTGTCAAGGATGAAATTCTAAAGTTTTAATTATCGCTGAAAGCAGAGGATTGTCGAGGCAAAAAAAATGATACACTGACTTTAAGGATGTTAACTTCTTGTAACGTCAGCTATCCCAAGTGGAGCACACAAGTCGTCCACAGGAAAAATTGTCCAAATGTTGCATATCTGTTTCTTTTAGAACAAATGTAAAACCAGAACTGATGAGATAAAAATGCTTTAAACTTGAGATTCCGAAAAAATTCACCCTCATCCTCTATTTTAATTCCTCTCTGATATTAATTTGGTACGCAAAGTGACATACGAGGTCTGATCAAAAAATATCGGGACTATTTCCATGGTAACGGAGCCATAGTACGCAGAGTCAAGCCACGTGTCATAGATTGACCTTGAACTCTCTTGCGCATATAAACTAAATTATTACATTCTCGCTCACACCCGTTGTTTTTAGCCATGCTTGAAAGGAAAGCGTGTAGAGTGTGGCCGTGTCACCACAACACAAAGGTGTTAGTGGCCATGGCTCCTCAGAATTTCATAGTCAGACAACATTATCCGGGTCCTTGTGGCATTTTCCATTTCAATAATCAAATCCCAGTTAAACGGAACAAAATTTCAAGACGTCCAGGAAATCAAAGAGATGATAGCTGTCCTTACAAAGGTGTTTCAGTAATACGTCCATCAAATGAAATGACGCTGGATAATTTGTGTGGTGTCAGAAGAGGAATACTCTGAAGGTCATTAAATGCCGCATTGATATGTGATTTAGTTTACTTTTTTTTATATAGCGCCAGCACTGACACTTTTTGATCAAAACTCGTGCATGTATTATAGCCTCATTAGCTATCAGCGAGCCTGCAATAGAGGCGAAATATTTCTGTATCTTAAATTGGGAAATGGAAGCCAACAACAACATAATGAAAGCATGTGAAGGCGAAAACAGCGAGTCTGAGTAAATGATAGCAGTAAAAGGAGACGAAAGAACAAAGAAGACTGGTTATGGGTTACAAGATACTTATTGTTTATGTATCATGTCCTTTCTGGACGTAGGTTATCATGGCTCTCTACCTCCCTTGCACCTCTCAACAAGTTCATCCCCTCTACTTCCTCCAACAGACCACGTTCTGTCATCGACTTGGTTAAGCCTGCCAGGTATGTCACGTGATGTTTTCCCTTGTCAGTCTTCGCTCTATTCGACGCATGAGCATCAAATTCTTCAGTCCCTTTTTCCTTATTATGTGTCCCAGAAACATCACTGTCTCTTCCTGATAAGTATAAGCTTCCTTCGTGTTTTTATCCTCTCTAAGACCTCATCGTTGCTCACACGTTCGCTCCATGATATCCTTAGCATCCTCCTATAGAACCACATATCCATCGCCTCGAGCCTTAATGATTTTATAAGAGCAACAAAGACTAGAAACTATGGAGAGCCATAGTCACTCCTGTCTGGTATATAAAAGGAGAAGAAGAATGTGTAAAACTATGTATGAGGTCCGTCTGTTCAGTTTCTGATTTTAAATTACACCACTGACAAGCATTTTAAGCTGGTATTAAATAATGAATGTCAACCTAACAGACAATGTTCCTTATATTGACAGGTAGACAGTCAATTGCACGAACATGTTATAGTATCAAACAAATTTAACATCCAAACGAATAAAAATAATTAGTCACTGACGTATTATCATCTGATACACATAGTAAAATAACGCTGCCAACATATTCAAATAGCAAAAACATCAGATCCAATGATAAAGGCATATGGCATACAAATGGT